CGATCAGCTTGACGAATGAAGGCTCCCAAGGACATTATCGCTCAGTAAAAGGTAATGAAATTTGGTTTAGAATAAGAAACTAAACGAAGAACAGTGAGAACGAGAGGAAATATGATAATTTCCCAATCAAATGCGTTCACAATATCTAAATGCAGTTGGTGAATGTCTACGAAAAAAACAGGTTACAGTACGAACATATAAACGGAACGAAGGTAGGGTGCACGTACATGTAAAGAGAATACCTTTACTACTGTTGAGTGAAAACACGCAAGAGAACGCTGGTGGTTGGCTGACCGCACGAACAAACAAACCAACAGCGGCCACCAAGCAACAGGAGAATAAATGTAAGCGTGAATGTGTGTTGTGCAAGAACAAGCAGTGCTGCGGCTAAGGAGGCTACGGCAGTTAGATCTCTAACAACAACAACTGCCGCAATGAACGCTGGTCATTGGATGACCGAACGAACGAACAGCCCAACAAGAAAAAATAAAAAAATATACGTATGGCGGTGTGTTATATGAGAACAACAACTACTGTAGTAAGGAGATGTAATTATCGAAAATAGGAAAATAACACACAAACAAACACGTATAAAAAGAAAACCAACAATAAAACTGTTTGCATTTGGATATCCTCAGACATTTGTGTAAGGCGAGCCAAGCACTCGCAATAAGTGATATAGGCACTATTGTATTTGGCCTGGAATGTCTCAAGCTTCGAGGCAGCCTCTGCATCTTCTGTTCTTCGCTAGCTCGATCGGACATAAATTGGTCAAACGCTGATTTGATGTCTGCCCATAAGGATTTAACTTCCGAAATATGTATCTTTATGAATTGGGCAGACGTCATGGGAACATTACCACCGACTACTTCGGCATTGAAGGTGACCAGACGATTAGCTTTACGAATGAAGGCTCCCAAGGACATTATCGCTCAGTAAAAGTTAATGAAAATTGATTTAGAACAAGAAACTAGTAGTTAGTAAACGAAGAACAGTGAGAACGGGAGGAAAGAGGATAATTTCCCAAGCAAATGCGTTCAAATTATCTAAAAAGTGGTTGAAAAACTTTTTTCTTTGTTTTTTCTTCTCTGTATAGCGCAACCAACTACCGTAATGAACGCTGGTCCTTGGATGACCGAACAAGCGAACAGCCCAACAAGAAACAATAAAAAAAATATACGTATGGGGGTGTATTATATGAGAACAACAACTACTTTAGTAAGGAGATGTAATTATCGAAAATAGAAAAATAACACACCAAAAAAACACGTATAAAAAGAACACACTGTCGCGAATAGGAAAAAATTACATGTGATGTGTGAGAACAAGCAATGCTCCGGCTAAGGCGGCTACGGCAGTTAGATCTCTAACAACAACTGCCGTAATGAACGCTCAACAAGAAAAAATAACAAAATATTGTTATGTCAACCTTCGGCGTAAGAAAAACGCAAACACCGCTTTCATTTACGTAGCGATCGGTTACCGACTACTTTTTGAATTTTCTTTTGGTTGTTGATATGGCACCACCAAACTGCATTTTTCAATCACTGCACCCCTTAACGCGCTTCTTTTTGCATTTCGCACATTCCAAAAAGAAAAGTGATTGAAAAAAGAAGTCGAACACAAGTAATAGTTTCTTTTATCAAATATTAAAGTGAGTGCACGTGGTTCGACAGCAAAGTGTTTTCCCAACGAGGACTTTTTAATCCCAATCGGATTCTTTTGGTTAACATAGTTGAGTGTTAGTAATAAAGGGCAAATACATACATAAGTATTCCTTTTTCCCTTGTGAACACAAAATCCTAAAGGAATTTCTGAATTTTATATTTAACAGGCGGCACCATATTTGGCGTACCCCTATACCCTCATACATTTCCTACATTGACGAGGATACGATTTAGAATCAAATTGGGGAACTGAGTGCTGGTATGTGGTTCCTGACTGCAATTCGTAATTCATTTTACATTGATGGTAACCGAGTGTACTCCAAGGAAAACTTATATTTAATTTTGCGTGTTTTTTTTCATTTTCGCCAACCCATTAACAAGAACCATACCAGTACGTAATTCCAAAACATATCCTGGACGAAACCAAGAATAAATTTTTTATCAAGAAACCATAATACGATTGTCGAAGAATCGCCCTACCAGATTTCAATTTCAACAATTTTCCAATCCCCATTTTGAACATCGAGCCGCATCATAAGGCAGTATACCACAGTATATTATCAATACATCCCATAGCATCAATACATCAAATAACAGACAATCTACATTTCGAGCCATCTACTTAGGAGAATCCATTCAGGATAAGTAGAAGTGAAATAAATGGTGTGTCGTGACAGAGTAGTTAGAGGTAGTTGCAGAAACAACTATGTTCATATAGCGGTTCGTACTCCTCAACCATAGGTTAAGAAGTGCGAAATCTATTCTTTTAATGTAATATTGAATCGACGGTCAGCCGATATTTTATTTTGTTTTTATCCTTTTTATACCCTCCACCATAGTATGGAGGGTATATTAAGTTTGTCATTCCGTTTGTAATTCATCGAAATATTCATTTCCGACCCTATAAAGTATATATATTCTTGATCAGGGTAAAATTCTAAGACAATCTAGCCATGTCCGTCCGTCTGTTGTAATCACGCTATCTTCTGAAGTAATTGAGATAGGATGCTGAAATTTTGCATAGGGTTGTCTTTTGTCTGCAGGCAGGTCAAGTTCGAAGATGGCATATATCGGTCCACGTTTAGACATAGCTCCATATAACAGTACCCTCCAATTTTCGGTATTTTGAGGTTCTTGCGCTTTTTTCAACCGAATAAGCTGAAATTTGGTACATTGGGTTCTTATTGGGTACTTAATGTCCCCACAAAAAATTATAAATATAGGTCCACTTTTTCTGGTAGCCCCCATATAATGGTACCTTCTAATTTTCAGTATTTTAGGGGTTTTGAGTATTTCGAGTTCTTAATAGGTACCAAATCTCTCCACAAAAAGTTATAAATATAGGTGAATTTTTTCTGATATCCCCCATATAAGGTCACCCCCAATTTCCGGTATTTTGGGGTTCTTGACCGCGTTTTTTAACCGAATTGGCTGTAATTTAGTATTTTCAGTTCTTAATAGGTACCAAATATCTCCACAAAAAATTATGAATATAGGTCAATTTTTTCGGGTAGCCCCCATATAAGGGTACCCCCAATATTCGGTATTTTGGGGTTCTTGAGCGTGTTTTTCAACCGAATTCGCTGCAATTTGGTATTTTGTTCCACTTTTTCTGGTAGCCCCTATATAATGGTACCTCCCAATTTTTAGAATTTTGGGGGTTTCGGTATTTTGAGGTTCCAATTTTCGGTATTTTGAGGTTCCAATTTTCGGTATTTTGAGGTTCCTGAGCGTGTTTTTCAACCGAATTCGCTGAAATTTGGTACTTTGAGCTCTTATTGGGAAGCAAATCTCCCTACTAAAAATTATAAATATAGGTCAATTTTTTCTGGTACCCCCCATATAACGGCACCCCCAATTTTCGGTATTTTAAGGTTCTTGAGCGCGGTTTCCAACCAAATTCGCTGAAATTTGGTACTTTGAGCTCTTGTTGGGAAGCAAATCTCCCTACTAAAAATTATAAATATAGGTCAATTTTTTCTGGTACCCCCCATATAACGGTACCCCCAATTTTCGGAATTTTAAGGTTCTTGAGCGCGGTTTTTAACCGAATTCGCTGAAATTTGGTATATAGGGTTCTTATTGGGTACCAAATTTACCCACTAAAAATTATAAATATAGGTCCACTTTTTCTGGTAGCCCCCATATAAAGGTTCCTCCCAATTTCCAGTTTTTGGGGGTTTTGACCGGATTTTTTTCACCGATTTGGCTGTAATATTATGAGTCCCTAATAGGTACCAAATCTCCCCACAAAAATTATGAATATAGGTACCCCCAATTTTCGGTATTTTGGGGTTCTTGAGCGCGTTTTTGTAGCGAATGCGTTGCAATTCGGTATTTTGTAGTCGTATATGGTAACAAATCTGTCCACCAAAAATTTATTAATATTCACCGCCTTTTTGGGGTAGTCCCCATATAACCCCCTTTTTATACCCTCCACCAAGTTTGGAGGGTATATTAATTTTGTCATTCCGTTTGTAACACATCGAAATATTCATTTTCGACCCTATAAAGTATATATATTCTTTATCAGGGTAAAATTTTAAGACGATCTAGCCATGTCCGTCCGGCCATTTTTCGGTATTTTGGGGTTCTTCAACGTGTTTTTCTGCCGAATGCGTTGGAATTCGGTATTTTTGTAGTCGTATATGGTAACAAACCTCCCCACAAAAATTATTAATATTCTCCCCTTTTTCTTATTCGTTATCAAATTCCCATGTAATGTAATTTATGTAAATCCTCGAAAATAAAGATAGGTCATACACTTTTCTTTTGAAAGGAGACGTAATATTATGGTAAAATGGTACCTACATATGTGGTACTGCAATGCGATATCTTTGTCGCGTATACATCCAATTATGTAGAACGCGACCCATGCACGTGTCTTATGTTTACAGGTAGAACATATCGGTTTTATAATTTTTAAAAGATAACATCACAAATAATATGTAAACAACCCAATTAGAACCTATAATTGAAGCAGGTAAAAGGGTTTCCTTTATAAGAACAGTTGTTTTGTTTTTACGAAAATTTTAAGTTTTATGACATTGTTTGTTTCAAAAAGGTCAAACTACCTGTCTGCGTTAGAGGTTCATAACAGTTAGCTTCAATTAATAACAAGTCCCCTAACCCCAGTAAATTTAGGTAGGTATTATAAATAATAAGCTCTAGGTATGCAAAAATTACGTACATATATAAATTGTGAGTACTCTGTTTTAAAATCAGTACATTATTGTTACTTGAAGAGTGTGTGCACATTTCGTAAAAAAATTAATAATTGAAATATTATAATTTAATAAGTATTTTAAATTCGTGTACATATAAATAATAAAGATGCCTAGACTACGCAAGCAATCAGTACAACAGCGCCAACGATTAATTGCGATGCGAGTCAGCAACTACCGCGAAGAAAACCCTCGGACATCCTTAGGAACGCACGTTCTTTATCAACCAGAAGACGGAATGCAGAATATCGCGAAGAAGAGCGTGAACGGGATCGCATCCAGCACCAAACAAGGAGGAGATCTTCATACAATCGAAGAATAGAGCAGCTACGTAATACAGCACAGCATTTTACTCGTCGACAGGATGATGCATTAAGATTAGCCGAACAGGAGAGAAATACGATTGAGCACTCGCTTCGTCGTCAAGATGATGCGTACAGAATAGCCGAACAAGAACGAAACACGCAGCAGCACACGGTTCGTCGTCAGGATGTTACGTACCGCTTGGCGGAACAGGAGCGAGATACGCGTCTTCACTCGATTCGTCGTCAAGATGATGTATACAGATTGGCCGAACAACAGCGAAACACGCAGCAGCACACGGTTCGTCGTCAGGATGTTACGTACCGCTTGGCGGAACAGGAGCGAGATACGCGTCTTCACTCGCTTCGTCGTCAAGATGATGCATACAGATTGGCCGAACAAGAGCGAAACACGCAGCAACACGCTATTCGTCGTCAGGATGTTACGTACCGCTTGGCGGAACAGGAGCGAGATACACATCATCACTCGCTTCGTCGTCAGGATGATGCATACCGATTGGCCGAACAAGAGCGGAATACGATTGAACATTCGCTTCGTCGACAGGATGATGCTTACCGGATGGCCGAACAGGAGCGAAATACGGTTCAACGTTCACTTCGTAGCTAGGAGGTCTGATTTATCATATCGCATATCCGAACAACACCGAAATACGCAACAACACCGTGAAACCAGGAATTCTGCTCGTATTCAGTTGAACCAACTGAGGCTGATTAGGAACTGCCGCGTACGTATTCACCGAATGGATCCCATTAACCGTGAAAACCAAAATGCACGCCAAGCTGAGAGGAACGCAATTCGGAGACGAAACATTTCCCCGTAATCTCGAATGGAATTGCTACAAATGGATTGTGCAAGACACGAATCACGATTATTCGGTGAGTTTTTTTAAGTTATTAGAAATGGACCGACGGAAATTTGTATATGTTGTGGGGGTCTCTGGTTTCCAAGTCAAGTTAAAGAACTTGTCAAGGACATTATTCTACAAAAATTCCCTAACATAAGTGAGGTGTTTTTATTATCTTCCAAATTTCCATCCGAAAATAATAAATACAAATTTTGTAATACTTGCCACAGAATTGTGAGTGGTGGAAATGTTCCCTCTATTTGCCTTTCTAAAGGCTTGTCATTTCCCGATATACCAGAAGAACTCAAAGGACTAACACCATTAGAAGAACGCTTTGTTTCACCAAGAATTCCATTTATGAGAATTGTTTCTCTTGGGTACAACCGTCAATGTGCCGTAAGGGGAGCTGTTGTTAACGTCCCCATTCAGTTGGACAGAACCGTTAATGTTCTTCCACGTACGGTTAATCAAACTGAAGTAGTTCAGGTATATCTCAAGCGTAGGCTAGAATATGAGCATAGTTTCATGACTGAAACAATCAGGCCAGCTAAAATTTTTCAGGCTGCAACATATCTCGTCGATACTGAATTGTATAGGAAGCACAACATTCGTATATCTGGCGATTGGCTTCGAAATATGAGTTCCAATGAAGAAGTTCCATTTGTGTCCGATATAGCAGATCAGGAAATTGTGTCTAGCTTGATAAATAATACTACAGAACAAGATGAAGTTGACGAATTTAATCCACAAGAAACACTATTAGATAATAACCTTGTGGATAATATTCCCTTGCAGCGTATTTCAGTTGCTCCAGGTGAAGGGCAAAGACCTTTAGACATTTTAATGGATGAAGACTCGGAAGAGTTGTCATATCCTACAATATATTGCGGTATTAAACGTACCTGTAATGCCACAATTGGCAAAATAATAAAATCTGAAGTTCGGCGATATGACAGACGTTGTGCACGCGTTGATAAGATTTTATATTCCTATAAGAAACTAGAGTTTGCCCGCATTAAAAATAGCATATCTACATGTTTAAGAAAGAAATTTGGGGCAAGACAATTGACAGCTGCTGACGCATTGGATGATCAGATAATTCAAAACCTAGTTCAACACGATGACGGCTATCACATTCTGAAAGGCATTCGTTCTTCTCCAGCCCATTGGGAAAGTGAAAAGAAAAAGGTTTTGGCAATGATAAGACAATTTGGCCTACCAACTTTCTTTATTACATTATCCGCTGCAGAATCTCAATGGCCAGAATTAATAGTGATTCTGGTAAAAATTGTCGAAGGAAATGACATTACTGAAGAAGAGGCAATGTCTTACAGTACGCAAAGGAAATATGAGCTTATACGAAGGGATCCGGTTACGTGTTCCAGATATTTTGACCAAAGGATTAGACATTTATTCAAACATTTTAAAACCAATGGCGGGGTATTCGAAGAACATCACGTTGTGAAACATTACTGGCGGATTGAATTTCAACAACGCGGTTCTCCGCATCTTCATGGTATTTATTGGTTACATAATGCACCACAATTAAATATTTTGGATACTACATCATTCCAACCCGTAATAAATTTTATTAACAAATTCATTACGACTGATTCCTCCAATATAAACGTCGAACCCTTCATCAACGTTCAGCGACACAATCGTACTAGAGCATGTCAACGGGAAATAAGAGGCCAAATGTTTTGTCGTTTCCACATACCACACCCCCCAATGCCAACTACAGAAATCTTATTGCCTTTACCGGATGATATAAACCCTGATCAACTTAAACAACATAAAGACAATTTTGAGAAAATTCATACATTATTAAATGCAAATTTTACAAATATTGACAGTAGAATTGGAATGAGCCAAGCAGAATATATTATGGCAATAAGATCTTCAATAAGAAAACCTCAAGTTTTCTTGAAACGGACATTTAGGGATAGGTCAATAAATGCGTTCAACATAAAAATTTTATCAATGCAAAGATCAAACATGGATATTCAATTTGTGTTGGATGCATATGCCTGTATCTCATATATTGTCAATTATATCAATAAGTCAAATAGGGGAGTTTCCAGACTTCTACAAGAAGCTATTAATGAAATCAGAGGGGGCAACTATTCCGTCAAAGAAAGGCTACAACACATTGGAAATAAATTCATCAATGCTTCAGAAGTATCCGCACAAGAAGCATCTTATAATATACTTGGTATGTGTATGTCAAAGACATCTAAATTGCGCGTCGTATTTAATGCTTCAAATAAAACATCAAACGGTATAAGTCTAAACGACATTCTTCATGTGGGACCTACTCTCCAAGCAGACTTAGTCCTATTGATTTTGCGATGGCGTCTATACCGGTTTGTCTTCAATTGTGATATTACTCAAATGTATCGTCAAATACGCGTTCACCCAAAGCATACACCCTTGCAAAGAATTTTATTTAGAGAATCCCCTAATGACGCAATTCAAGATTATGAATTACAGACAGTTACTTTTGGTGTAAATTGTGCACCGTATCTGGCGATTAGAACTTTGCTCCAACTTGCTGATGATTGCCAATCCAAGTTTCCTTTAGCATCGCATATTTTACGTAAAAGTATGTATGTGGATGATGTTCTTGCTGGTTCCCATGATATAGACACCATTTTGCTTGCTCTTGACCAGCTTATATCTGCTCTTTCAACAGCTAAATTTGAACTGAGGAAATGGACCTCCAATGATAAATCGGTGCTTGATAGTTTGCCCCCCCAGTCATTTAGTTCATGCTCAAGTCTTGTCTTTTGTAGAAGCAAGTAGTTCAAAACCCCTAGGCTTTAGATGGAATGCTAGTTTAGATTCGTTTTATTTTGATGTTAATCCAATCCCAATTAAATCCACCTATTCTAAACGGGAAGTTCTCTCTCATATTGCTAAATTATTTGATCCCGTAGGTTGGTTAGCCCCTGTCATTGTCGTAGCTAAAATTGTAATGCAAAAAGTCTGGTTAGACAACATTGCTTGGGATGAATATCTTCTTCCTACAACTCACAATTCGTGGCAAACCTTTGTAGAAAATTATCCACACGTGAATTCTATTAGACTTCCACGATGGGTTCATTATGAACCAAATAGTTTGGCAGAATTGCATATATTTTCTGATGCCTCAGAGAAGGCATATGCGGGGGTAATATACATTCGGACAAAAAATTCACAAGGTAAAATACAAGTCCATCTTCTAGCATCAAAAACAAGAGTAGCGCCCATCAAATCGGTTTCTTTGCCTCGTTTAGAATTGTGTGGGGCTGTATTAGCGTCAGAACTCCTTAAACCTATTTTGAAAGAACTTGAAATTCCAATTCATAAGGTGTACTGCTGGACCGATTCGACTATTGTATTAGCCTGGTTACGTAAAACTCCCACTACATGGACTACATTTGTTGCAAATAGAGTCTGTCGTATTCAAGAAAACGTAGGAAATGGTCATTGGTTTCACGTTCGGTCTGAGGACAACCCGGCTGATTTGGGAAGTCGTGGCGTTTCACCAGCAGAGCTTGCTAGTTGTTCACTCTGGTGGAAGGGTCCCAAATGGTTAAGCCAAGATAGTTCAGTTTGGAACACTACGGATCTTACTCCGCAAGAAACTAATTTGGAAGCTCGAAGTGTTAAAACACACTTCTCATTTTTCTCGAAATATGAAGATATTTTAGACAAATTTTCCTCCCTTGATAGAGCGTTGCGAGTGTTGTCGTATATATTCCGCTTCCTCCATAAAACTCATTCTTGTTATCGGTCTCAATATTCGTACGCTTCTAAGGTTATAACATCGGCAGAAATTTTAAAAGTTAGAACTCGTTTAGCAATCTTAGCGCAAAAAGTTTACTTCCCGGAAGAATATAAATGTCTTTGCGATAAACGTCCCTTGTCTTCTACTAGTTCTCTCCTATCGTTGAATCCAATATTAGACGATGTTGGTGTCATGCGTTTAAATGGACGTTTGGTTAAATCTAATACGCTGTCCTATGCAGAAAAATTTCCCATTCTTTTGCCATACTCGTGTCGTTTCACCCGACTTCTTGTTGATTTCATACATTTAAAATCTGTTCACGGTGGAAATCAACTAATGCTTCGTATCATACGCATGGAATATTGGATTCCTCGTGTGAAAATTCTGATTCGCACAGCCATTAGTCGTTGTAAAGTATGTCTACTTGAGAAAAATCGACCAAATCCTCAAATCATGGCAGCACTTCCACCTGAAAGAACTACGGTTACTAGAGCCTTTACTACCACCGGGGTCGATTTTGCCGGTCCTTTTGATATCAAATCGTTTACTGGACGTGCTTGTCGTATCACCAAGGGGTACGTCTGTGTTTTTGTTTGTTTTGCAACAAAAGCAATTCATTTAGAAGCAGCTTCTGATCTATCGTCGGCCACTTTTCTTGCTACATTTCATCGATTTATCGGTCGCCGTGGCTGTCCCAAATCCATATTTTCCGATAACGGGACCAATTTTGTCGGCGCTTCACGCGAGATGGAAAAGGATTTTAGAATTTTTATTCGAGAAACTCGTGATACCGTCTGCTCTTCTTTAGGATATCAACAACTTTCTTGGCAATTTATACCAGCCGGTGCTCCCCACATGGGTGGTCTTTGGGAGGCAGCCGTCAAAAGTTTTAAATTACATTTTTTCCGACACGCTAAGCATTTTTCGTATACTTTTGAGGAGCTTTCCACAGTTTTGACGCGCATTGAAGCATGTTTGAACTCGCGTCCA